TCAATAAGCGACCACCCCCGTGTCTATGGCACGGTAGCTTTAACAGCCGCCTTTGCCGCCGGCATCCTCGTCACTCTCGGCTTCAAGGACTGCTACCCCGAGCTAGAAAACCGGTACCAACGGCGTCGGAACCGCAACCTAAGCCGATCCAATGGCGACTTCGGCGTCGTAGTACCCACGGCCAACCGGGTACACCGCGAGAGTCTGATCTTCGGTCCCGTCCGACTAGAAGACCACGAGGAAGTAACAAGCAACATCAACAGCAGTTTCGACTGGGTCGAGGGCATCGAGGGCTGCATCGGCAACACCCCCCTGGTCCATATCCGCAGCCTGTCGGAGGCAACAGGCTGCATCATCCTCGCCAAAGCCGAGCTCCTCAACGGCGCCGGCGGTAGTCCCAAGGACCGGGTGGCGCTCAACATGATCCAGGACGCCGAGGAGCGCGGGCTCCTTGTTCCGGGACGCGGCGACACCATTTATGAAGGCACCGTGGGAAGCACGGGTATCTCGCTTGCCACTTTGGCGCGCGCCAAGGGGTATAAGTGCCACATCTGCATGCCGAACGATATGGCCATCGAGAAATCGCAGCTGCTGCACCACCTAGGCGCGACGGTCGAGCGGGTTAACCCAGCGCCCATCACGTCTCCCGACCACTTTGTCAATCTAGCGCGCAGGCGGGCGCGCGAGCACGAGGCGGCGCACGGCGATGGCAGCGTCGGGTTTTTCGCCGACCAGTTCGAGAGCACGGCCAACTACACGGCACACGTCAAGACCACTGGCCCGGAAATCTACCGCCAGACGGGCGGGCAGCTGGACGCCTTCGTGGCTGGCGCGGGGACCGGCGGCACCATTGCTGGTGTGGCCAAGTACCTGAAGGAGGAGAAGAATCTGTGGGACACGCGCGTGGTGCTGGCGGACCCCCAGGGTAGCGGGCTGTACAACAAGATTCGTCACGGTGTAATGTACTCGTCGACGGAGCGGGAGGGCACGCGCCGGCGGCAGCAGGTGGATACGATCGTGGAAGGCATCGGCATCAACCGCATCACGGAAAACTTCGAATCGGGGCGGGTGCTGATTGACGATGCCGTGCGGGTGACGGATGAGCAGGCATGCCGGATGGCCCGGTGGTTGGTGGAGCACGACGGCATCTTCTGCGGCAGCAGTACGGCTGTCAACTGTGTGGCGCAGTCGTAACGGCCATGAAACTGCCCAAGGGCAGCCGGGTGGTGACGCTGTTGTGCGACTCGGGGAATAGACATCTGAGCAAGTTCTGGAAGCAGATTGGCGATATGGGCTTGGAAAATGATACCCAGGCGCAGGCGGAGGATCTTTTTGCGGAGCTGGGGCTTGAGGAATTGAAGAGGTAGGAATTGAGACGGACTGAACAGCGTAAATATGGTGCACGATGAGTGAAACTCGCTTGGTCCCCCGCTGCTGTTAAACAAGTGACATGTCTTGATCGCCTCTGGTCGAAGGACCCGACAAGTTCACAATGAAAGGTTCGGTGGAGCCATATCGGCTATTTGGCCTCTTGCGGTTGAACTTGGATATATTACTACATAATGTGTGGTGTGAGGCCTGAGCAGGTTGCTGCCCGTCATAAAATCCAGCTCTTCCCAAGTCGTGGAGTATCTAGTAATTCAGCGCTCACCTCATCGCTGGGTATAATAAAGAAAATAAAGTTAAATAATCCATACTCCGATGCTTGAAGAAGTTCCCGAAGGTACAGAGTCTTCCGTTTTCGAGTAATCCTTGGTTTTCAGTTCCCCCGTCTCATGGTCCTCTCTTAGCTGAAGAAATATTCTCCAGACACTTCATTCTCCTCGTCCTGTTGTCAAATGAGCTTCCCAATTGTGAGCCAGTTATAAATCATCAGGCAAAGAAGCGCTGAATAGGCAGATTTCCCCGGAGGAACGGCATATCAAGCCACAAAAGCGACGCACACTCCGCGCCCCGATTCATGCCGAAAAGAACAGAATATTATGCGCCGCCATTTTAGGAGAACTAAACACGCAATAATTAGCATCAAATTTGACATCCGTAGAAGAGATTTTGTGAGTCTGCCATACCTTCCAGCGGTTTCCGCAAACAGTGCACTCGCAGAAGGTAGTCATAGGTTCATCAGCCGACCGTGTTTGCGCCTGGCTGTACGACACCTTCCTCTGTCCGCACTTTCCGCACTTCAGCGCATCACTGATGGACTTCTCCGCCATGGGCACCTGGGCCTTCTTCATGTTCTCCTTCTCCAACTCCTCATCCCTGGCACGCTGTTCCTCCGAGGCCAGCTCCTTGTCCGACAAAACGACAAGGCGGTCGACGGGAAGCTCGCCCGACATGACCCGTCGCCCCAACGCAGCGTTGTCCTTGCGCTTCAAACTGGTAAAGAGGGTGCGGGCCTTGCTGCGATATTCCTGGTTCTCGCCCTTGCAGGCCTTGAAAAGGGCATTCTCGACTTCAACGGCGCGCTTGACGACCTCCTCAATCGACTCGGTTCTTCGGTAGGCAAGGCCGTTGTAGAGCACGCCGATGGTGTTGTTGCGCGTCTGGCTCGAGGTTCGGTTGATGTCGACCTTGTCTGTCTTAAAGTGGCGCTTCTCGACGTCGCCTTCGTAGGGCTTGTTGTACGCGGACGATGCGGGCGCAGGCGATGCCTTGGGTGCTGGGGAGCTGGCGCCCGAGGCCGCGGCGGCCTGGCTCTTCTTCTTGGCCTCCTTGGCCGCCTCAACCAGCTTCCTCCACTTGTTGACGATTTCGCTCGCAATACGAGCGATGTCCTTGTTGGCATTGGCGCGCAGCTTTCCTACGGTGACACCGGCTTTTGTCGACTAGGGCAGGCAAGGCAGAGTGTCAGAACTTAAAGTACCACTCGCATCGCTCTTCGACGCCGATTGGGGGGAAGGAGCAAGACTCACGCGAAGCTGTTCCTCGGTCGGCTTGGCATCTCTCTTCAATTCCTCCAGGAGCTTGATGACCGTCGCCGGTGGTTCGGTAGCGACAGCCTTGGAGAGCGCCTTGATGCGCGCGGTGAGTTCTCGGTCATCCATGGTGTGAGTGGGAGATGACGTTGGGCTGGCCGTGTGTAATTATGCGCAAGCGACAGCGTTCGCGTCGGGTGATCGGCGGCTTCGACGCGGTTGAGTATGCGGAATTCTCTCTGCTATGGAGTCAGAGGGATGTTGAGCCAGAGAAGAGCGAGGACGAGTGAGCTTGTCTTAGATGATATCGCGGGATCCAGGTGGTGGGAATATTCGGGAAAAGTAATGACGAGCAGGCAAGTCGCAAAGTGAGCACGGCAGCGTCGTTGGAGAAATGTTAGTGGAGCTGGAAAGAAAGAGCCCCACCGGCCGGCCGCTTCTCACAGCCAAACAAAGTGGACCAAAAAACAGGCCGCAGGGGTGACAGGCCGAGACCGTCAATCAGCGATCGCTCAATGGACGAAACAGGCAGTCCGGAGCAACAACAAAAGACTTCTTCCAAGTATGGCAGGATAATGATATCACTTGCCAAATATTTGGAGACCAATCTGTCGAATGTGTGTTCATGTGCAAGGGAAACGGCTTGTCTTTGCGACTTCTGACTAGGTATTAATTGTACCTAACAAAGAGAACTTGAACAAAAGTGAGTTCCCAGCAGATAGAGGGGAGGCCTTTGATCCGAGGTGTAGAAAATTCAACGATGTCTGTCTGGGACAGCAATGGCTACAGAAGCTGGGAAACTCAAAAGATTCCAAGAGGAAGCGCAGGGCATTGATAAGCGCAAGCTCCACAAACTATAAATACATACGACCATACCCAC